TGGTGAGCAGTGAAATGTAGTTATATACTAATTCCCAATGGGTAATTGCTTCGAAACGATATGTGCCTCAAAGGTATGAAGACCAAGATGGTGTTGCCTTTTGTATGGTCGCAGTCTCCTTTCGTTGCATAGAAGTTGTTTCACCTTGAGTTATTGACTTTGTCATATTGGTAGGGAGACTTAGAGGAACGCACCTTGTACAGAGTCCATTGTATGTATAATCATTTCCAAAGTCGGACCCTGGAGGTGGTACATTTCCAGACGCTTCGCCGGCTTCGTAGTCGGCATCGTCAGTGAGTTTTGCCATTCGCAGCACCATATTACAGCGCGTCAGAGACAAGTGAAGCCGATCCTTTGACCAAACGTGTGCTAAACAGTTATGGTATCTCCACTTCTGCCCTAGCCTAGACGTTTACTCCTTATTATCATTGATTTCAAACCTTTTATTTCAATTCTATATGTGTGATTTTCCTATACACGACTCTACCTAACTTGTTACCTTTGCACACTAATGCATCCATAAAAGGCAAATTATTTTCCTTTTCTAATTCCATAGTAAACTTAGTATTAGCATCAATTCCATTTATTAGCCCAGGGGATCCATTCAACTATCTTGCCTTGTAGCCAAACTGAAAAGTGATCGTCTATATAGAGAACTTGGGAAATAAGAGCGCTTCTTGTAAAGCACAAACTTCTAATTGGTCCATGTAGTTATTAGCTATAATAAGGGCTAAATAGGATCTTATGGCCAAGCTCCGTGTTTGCTCATACCACTTACCATTGAAGGTAAAATATGTATTTTACATTGTAAAATTGATTTATCTAATGATTACAACTTTGTTTAACTTTTTACCTGTTATACTTTCGGGATGTTGATCTAGACTTACTTCTAAGGCCTTCGATTCCTCGTTTGTCGGAATGTTAGTGTACATAGGCATTACATCGAAACATATCAGCAAATCTCCTCTTTCCATCGTCTGATCCTCGACTAATTGTATAACGTCGTAAGTTTACTGAGGAGGTCCTAGCAAATAACTTTGCCTTTTCAAATGATAAGAACTTCAAGGAGGAAATTTAGGTAGAATTGATAAGTTTACAGATCGTTTTCCAGTGGATACTAGGGGTGACATTGAATTGCAAGTTGTTCCTTCAATTGATGGCCATGTAGAGGCACAATATGCTCTAGTTCGTAAGGTATTTATTCTTGCTCTGATGATGTCTGTCACGGCAGTACAGACGAAAGCTTAGCACAGGTTGATTGAAGTCGCAGGATGGTGAGCCGAGGGCCTCTTCACACAATGCAACAGTCTTCTCTAGACGGCAATCCTGCCTTGGTTTCCGGTAAAGCCACATCACTAATTCTTTCCAATCAACTTTTCCTTCGAAATTTAAAGTCATGGCATAATAATATTTATGTTTCTACATGCTCCTGATTTTGAATTTATTACATTGTTTAATAAGAAGAGCGATTTGCTTTCTGATTATTTTTATGATATACTTTTAGTTACTTTTTTAGAGAAAACTTCACTTAAACTTTTTACTGGTCTATCCAGCAACTGAGCTCTATGTATTTTATGTTTTCCTTATATCCTTCATGTATGGGAGTAATTATGTGATTCATAGACACTGAAACTCAACACCATACAACGATTGACGCCTAACACTATCTTTTCTTACTAGTTTATCTATATTAGATACTTGGTTGTGCTGTCAGGGCGACTTAGTTGGACGGACCTTGTCATAAGTCCTCTGCTATAGTAGCTTCTGGTCGTGGTCTTGCTTCATTCTTAGACGTTTCGACGGCATCGTCAATGAGTCTTGCCATTCTCAGCATCAAGCTACAACTTATCAAAGAGGCAGGCGAAGTCTCCCTTTCAACTGTTGAAACGGTTGTGCTATTAGTCCTCTTTCTGACAACACAACTAAGTTGCGAAGACGAGGTCGGACCACTTCTATACATCGAAACGGGACTGCGGCAAAAGTAGAGGCTTCAGCATCTTTGTCTTCATATCTATGTTTACAAATAAATAATGTACACATACCCTGTCACTCAATTTTGCCTGCATTGATTGTAGGCAGTATGCACATTAATCTGCTATGCTAAATCGCTAGTCTGCTTTCAAACCATTAATTCGAGTGGTTATTTCGCATTCTTATCTTACCCTTTAACTAAAACGATAATCCTTCTCAAGCACGGAAATTTTATTAGCTAATATAAAAGTTGTTCCGTTTTCCCCTAGTTACCATAAGTAAGATAGTTCTTCCCTGAATCATAAAACAAATTTAGTCATTAAAAATCCTATAACAGACTTACACTGCGATCATAAACTGCATGAGATAGCACAGAAACGAATTCATCCCGGTTTTCAGTGATAAATTATTGAATTGGATTACATTAAATATAGGTAAAAACGTTTCCATATTCCCCTCAAAAGACAATTTAATAATAATAACTATGGGTCACTATTTGTCGCTTCAGGTAATTAAGGATTCACATTCAAGTTTTCCTACATTGATATGAGCAGGCCTCATGATAGCATTTAATTTCAGTTAGCCCTATCTCCAAAACTGTTTTTTTCGCCTGTATGGGCCCACAGTCATTTTTGTTTGTACGGCGAAGAGTTAATGTTCCTCCACTTTACGTTCACGAGTTGGTTTCGAATCCTTTGGAAGACGCTGGGACACTGAGGCTATACCGAAACTTCAAACAACCTAGATTATAAAACCCCTTTAGAATTAAGGGTTATGAAATTCAATGGCATCACGGGCCCTGATCATATCATTTTGAGAAAACTCCATTATTACCTTAAGGGACAAGGTGCTTTTTCAAAAATTCTTGATAGTTTCATAGTAAGCACTTATATTAATTAAAAAAAATTAAAATTGGCACATATCATGAGTATCAGCAATCACAATAAAAATAAATAAATAAATTTATGTTTCGTTCTCATATATCGGCCTATTATGATTAAACGATCAAAATTGCAAGAAGATCTGAACCTTATGTACAAATTAAATTTTGATCTTTAGTTTATAAGTAGGTTTTCGGCATTACCAATAGATCATTTATATGAGGTGTCATCATTCTATTTCCTTTAAGGTGATAGGGAAATTGGTAGTTGAATTTTCCCACAATGATATAAGTAGTCTTTACGTTTCCATTGAATTTCACATGGCCCTGTTTTCCAAAAAGTATTTTTACCAAAGTTGGACTGTAATTTCAATCTCGATTAGGTCTTATCAGCACCCACACTGAGACTCGAACTATGACTGTAGCGTATACTCTCGATCCCTTAGCCACTTTGCCACACTGCAATGAGTGCCTCTTGGTCACTGAACAGATGTAAATTTTAAGGCAGGGATTTTAACATACCCCATTCTGGGGTGGAATTGTCAATGAAGCAAAGTCGATTGCTATGGCAATCGACTATGTTACTTATTTTTCGTTAATAAGTAGTTTTTCGAGACTACCAGTAGATCATATGTATGAGGTATTTTAATCCTACTTATCAACGAAAAATAGGTAATGTAGCCTATTTATATAGCAAATATATCTTTGCTTCTACAAATCTCAAGCTTTCCTTAAGCTATGAACTTTATATTATTCTTTTAGTCTATAAATTGTCTATCATTTTATTTTATTTTTACATTTTATCCAGTTAGAATATAATTTGTATTTATTATCTCCTCTGCAGTGCGTCCGCCTCCTTACGAAGTCGCACTCGCTCTTTGTCAAGCACATAGATCCCAAGCACCACAAAATCAGGCTCTTATGACCTATCAGACCTCCAAGGGTGACAATACCTCTATTCCTCTTCCAGACACAGGTTGATATTTCGTATATTTTTTCCCTTTTACCTTAAAAGTTGTTTTCATTAAGCCTCAGATTTATCAGGAATGCCACGCAGGCATCTTTATATTTTCACTGGTTGATGGCTGCGTCTAAGTATTCCTTATAACTAACCTCTTATTTCTACTACTTCTATTTAATTTATATTTATCTTATGATTTTGAGACATCGAATAGCTAGGTAATTTTTTAAATATTGCTCATCCGCAACGGAATACGATAGAATGTTCTGAACTTGGATCTATTATCCTCTGAACCAGTCAGTTATAATTATACTATTATATGATGAATCTAAGTCTGGGCTGGTGTTCCTCTAATTTGATTTTCATATGAATTCATTTCGAACTTTATGCTATTTATGAAGAATGTTTGGAAGCCTCATAAATTTGAATTATGATAGATGCGGATAAGTGAATAATTTTCTAGCAAAATGAAGTTGGGATATATGCTTTGAAAAACCTGCTTCATTTCATTTTGATATTTGAAGCCACATATAAGCTATTTTTAACTTTGGTGGCCCTAGGTCGTATGATATGATATATAAATGATAGTTTTATTTTCATACAAAGTACTGAACAGGCCTCCCGGCCCTAATGGATTTTCCATATCCTTACCTTTTAAAAGGCTTTCTTATACACGATAGCTTGCAGTTTCGGCCTGACTTTAGTCTTCTCAGCACCCCTAGCCTGATTCAAAACCAGGTAGTGCACTTCAGATGGCAACATCTTACCCTTCCACTCTACAACCACGGTTGTCAGTGAGTCACAGGCATATTTGACTTTCATGGCAGGTCTAGCCTCTTTCAACCATATTTATGTTGGAATTTAATGCCTATAAGGCAAACTTGTATTTTATATTCAAATTGACGGTGCCATTCAGCTAGTATTTGAGTATATGCCAAGACTATCATTAGTTATTTGAGATTTATTAAGTAAGAACTTAGATCAACTTTTGCAGCATATCTACGCATATTTTTACTTGATTCGCATATGAGTAACACCATCGATTTAGTTGGAAAATAGAAGTTTATCTTTGTAATGGGTGGGTTTC